AGTTCTGTTTGTTTTTGAACTAAAGTTTTTATATTAGTAATTGTTGTAAATGTAAAGGTTCCAGAGATTGCAAAGAGTATATAATTCATAGAACGACTGGAAATAAATAAACTTTTGTTTGTTCTATTTATAAAAAGCATCTATAGGTGAAAATCTTCAATTTATACATTTATTTAAGAAAATTACTTTAAATAACCAGCGGTGTTTAATTAGTCAATAACGATAAAACAAAAAAAAAGATTTCATTTCATTTACTTTAGGGTAAGGGCGAGGCCTGGGATTTTAGTAAGGTGTTTTATATATGCAAAATTTAGCAAAGAATTTTTTTTGTTAGAACATAGAAAGTGGTTTCATTGGCGAATTTTTGCATTTTTCTTACAAAAAATATCAATTTACGCCTGATCCAGCAAATTTATTGGCTAATTACACACAACCGCCGGTTATATTCTTTATTAAAAACCTTTAAAATTTTCTAACAAGCTACATTTATTAATACTTACTTGACAATATGCTGAATACTTCAATGGAAATATTAGGTTGCTTTATTTATATACACATTATTATCATAAGCAATCACATCAAATTTATTTTAAAATACTGCTATCGAGAATTCAGGATTATAAAATGTGTTTTAAACGTTTGAACGATTGGTGCTTAATAAACTTCAATAATAACATTATATTCATAATATTTTTAAGAAGTGATTAGAAAGTTCTCAAAATATTTTCACTCATGATTGTTGAGATGGAAAGACTAAGGGAAATTTTGTAAGAGTTTAAACTGCGGATTAAAAGCTCGTACGATTTAACTTAAACCGGTTTTAAATCAAATCGGTTTTAACTACCCAATAAAAAATAGCCACTTTCTAAAGAAATCGTATAAAAGTTTTTCTGTTAAAAAACATCTAAAATTTTACTGTAATCGATAGCATTGAATGAATATTATTAGACTATATACGAATAAAACTTTTATTTTACAAATTCGTTAAATACTTTACCAGTTATGAAGTGTAAATTTAAACAGATCTAATATAAAAATTTTTAAATATTGGTCTTTATTTTGTAGGGAAATGAATTTTATGCTAATAACGATAAAACATGTGACTCTTGTATAATATGTAAATTCTGATAACTAAGAAAAACAAGCATCCAACTTTATACACACTGTAACTCAGTTGTGAAAATATATATTTATTTAAAAAATTTTTTTATCATAATTAAACTGAGTTATTTCATGTTAATTAACGCATCATTTGGATTAATTTCTAATCATTTATCATATCTGTAAATGATTCTTTATTTTTTTCTTTCATGCGAAAGTTAATCCAAGGAAACTTAATGCGCCTAATTCAATTTCTTTAAATCTGAAAATGTTTTCATATTTGTTCATCAAAGTGTTTCTACGATATTATAATGCAATGTATATTTTGTTTCAATTCTACTAATTTATTTTAAGCAACTTCAGTTTACTTAATGCAAATTTATCATTTGGTTCAATTTCCAATGATTTATTGAAATCTGCTAATGATTGATTAAATTTGCCCATCATACGATGAGTTTCTCCACGAATTCTTAATGCCCATGCACTATTTGGTTGAATTTCCAATGATTTATTTAAATCTGTGAATGATTCTTCATATTTGCCAATTAGACGATAAGTGTTTCCAAGACTTCTTAATGCCCATGCATTATTGGTTCAATTTCCAATGATTTATTTAAATCTGCAAGTGATTCTTCATATCTTCCCATCATACGATGAGTTTCTCCACGAATTCTTAATGTCCATGAAATTTTTGGTTGAATTTCCAATGATTTATTTAAATCTGCGAGTGATTCTTCATATCTGCCAATTAGACAATAAGTGTTTCCACGACTTCTTAATGCCCATGAATTATTTGGTTCAATTTCCAATGATTTATTTAAATCTGTAAGTGATTCTTCATATCTTTCCATCCTACGGTAAACATCTCCACGACTCCTTAATGCAAATGCAATATTTGGTTCAATTTCCAATGATTTATTCAAATCTGCAAGTGATTCTTCATATCTTTTCATCTTACGATAAGTTTCTCCACGGTTACTTAATGCCCATGAATTATTTGGTTCAATTTCTAATGATTTAGTCAAGTCTTTAAGTGATATTTCGTATTTACCCATTTTACGATAAGTTTCTCCACTTTTTCTTAATTCCGATGCTTTATTTAATTCAAATTCTTGTGCATCGCATGAAGGTAAAGTTGAAGTTATATTAGTACGAGGTGGCAAAATATGTGAATTAATTTTCATATTTGGTGCCATAAATTTTATCATAATGTCAGTCCACAAGGTTGGTTCAAGAATTTTCTGATAAGGTCGAACTTTCTGAATAATATCTTCTCCAGATATTTGAAAATAACGAATTAATGGAAGACAATTTTGAAGTGAGTTTTTTAAAGCAAAATTCAGAGCACTTATATACATTCTTTTTACATATGAAAAAAAATTTATAAAATTTTCTAAATTTGCAAAATTACTAAAATTTGTAAAATTTTCTAAATTTACGAAATTTCTCATTTTTTCGAAATTTGGTTAATTTTCAAGATTTTAAAAATTTCTGAAATTTCCAAAATTTTCAAAATTTTCGAAATTTTCGAAATTTTGAAAATTTTGACGATCTTCCTCCGGACCAGGCGCAGCATCGGGGTAGGTAATTTCGACCCTTACAACGTATGTTGAGAAGGTGTGAACCAGTTCTGGGACCGAACTCGACCGGAGATTCTTGGTCACACCTAGGTTCGTAGATCAACAAGTCAACAAACAAACACTACAAATCCAACAATCGACCTTATGTTGGAAGGCTGAAAGAGGATTTGGTCCAAGTTGTAAGGTTGCAGAGAGGATTTATTCAGGTGAGTGTTGTTTGGTTCTTAGTCTTTAATTCTACTTGTTGATTCGGGTTTGGTCTTTCGGTTTCTTTATACTTTTGCTTTATATCACGGGGCACGTGATCTGGATTTCCTTCCGATTGGTTATTGATTTAACGATGGGAATTCTTATTCGTAAGGGTTTCTCTATAAGACTATCTCGGGTGATCGATTGATTGTTTTACTGATTTGGCAGTTTAACAATTAATACGAAACTTTATATTTCACGGGTACTAGGCAGGAGTTTTTATCAATGACGATGTTTTTAATAATCAGACTTTTCTAGTACAACACTTCTACTCGTATTTCGAAGTTTGTATTTCTTAGTCAACTATTTTTAAACTCACTTGAGTTTTTTTATTAAAAGGGAAGAAAGTATCGCTTTTATACTTTTTGCGATACTAGTAGGTACATTTGGAACATATCCAAGATGTGTCCTATATGTCAGATATGACATATCAGTCAGATAGGTCATATGTGTCAGATCTGCCACAAATGCCCTATGTGTCCGATATGCCATAAATGCCACATATGTCACATCTTGAATATTAATTTGATCTATTTATGGTAATGATGATCTTTTACAGGTTTCGAGGTAAGACTATCATACATATTTGCTAATTACTACAAGCGAGCTGGCTAAATATATTTTGATAAAACAGATAAACATAAAAATAATAAATAAGGAAAAAGGAAAAAATAGGCCGCTTCAAATCGGTAGGGTCGGGGATTCCGGAGACCTTTACACTGCACCATGGCTATTTATGCTATGGCTTGACTTCGGCTATGGCTTTAGTGAGCTAAGCCGAGCCATTCCAGCCGATTACATCTCTAGTAATAATAATCTATGTAAACATTAGGGTGAGCAGTGGGGTAAGGCGTATATCCAATAAGCCCTAATTGAATGGAATTGTATAACGATGTGAGCAGTGTGGCTTCGTGTTACCTTAGGATGGTTTAAACGTAAGCGAAGCAACAGCTCACGAAGGAGTAAACAATTGCTATAAAGATAAGAGCGACTTAATTATTTAGAATTTACTTAGCATAGCCTTCACAATCCAAATTATATAAACATAGGTCCTTTTTGCCTTTCTAAAAGGACAAGTTACGAATGAAGTTACGAAATGAATAAAATAATAATAACTACAACTTACTCTTGAAATTCCCTCACCATATAAATTCACGATAATCTTCGCTAATTAATAATCATTCTCCACCACGTTTATTTGAACAACGACTATAAGCATACGCTGGGTCTCTTGGTTAACATAAAGGAAGTAAGCACTGAGGCCGAATAGACCTTTCACTGAGTAACTAAGAGCCGTATTCTTAACGAGTTATATAGGAAATAACATCACGTGAAGACATAAATAGATAATACATAGCCTTGATTTAAATAGACTATCGCACTCTTTCACTATCACCACCTCCATAGTAAACCATTAAACCCAGTACTACGTTAACTATCGGAGCTAAACCGTGCAACGTTACCCGCTCTCCCAATTTACGATAGTAACACTGTCCCCTATTTTCACAGACCTTTTCTAAACCGAATACTTAATAAAATCTAAGCTTTAGAGTATTTATAAATTTTATTACTGTAATAAGTTCAGTTTAGAGATATAGTAAAATTTTGTAAACTGAACTTTTCAAAATTTTTACTGTAAAAACGTATTATTCGGTATAGCGAGTTTACCGTATTCTGATTAGCGTCAAATATTGATAAAAAAAAAAAATCAATACAGATCTACAAAGGAGCGGAATGGCGACAAATAGTGAAGATAAAATATCAGTTGATTCTGGACTTGTTCTAAGTAAAGACAAAGTTATTATTTGACTCTGAAATTCTATTTGGTTATTTTATTATCTCTGAATCCAAATGCAAACAATGAAAATTGCGTTGGTTTACTTCAGAAGAAAATCAGAATAATGTTAAATTAAAGTCAGAAAATCTTTCTAAACATACTAAAGATGGTATTATTAATTCTTTTAATGTTATTTCTTTAAATCCGAAATGTAATAATCGAAATTATATTAATTCTTCGTTAGAACTTTCGAATGCTGTTAAATTAAAAGCAGAAAATCCTGATGAATATTCTGGTGAAGGTATTATTATCATTAAATATAATAAAATTCTATTGGTTCCTCTTTAGAATAACCTTTAAATACTGCTAAGTTAGGAATAGAAAATCTTGATAAAAATTCTGGAGAAGGTATTATCTTTGTCAATTCTATTAATTCTATTAATTTATTTGGTTGTTTTATCATTTCTGAATCGAAATGCAAATAATAAGTTGTCTGAATCTATTAAATTAGAGTTCGCTGTTAAAGGTGGCTCTAATGAAAACTCAACTACTAGCAATAATAGTTCTGATTTGAAAAAGACTGAAAATTCAACTACTAACGATAATAGTTCTGATGTGAAAAAGAGTGAAAATTCAACTATCGGCAATAATAGTTATGATGTGAAAAAGAATGAAAATTCAACTACTGACGATAATCATTCTGATGTGAAAAAGAATGAAAATTCAGCTACTGGCAATAATGGTTCTGATGTGAAAAAGAGTGAAAATTCAACTATTGGCAATAATAGTTCTGATGTGAAAAAGAATGAAAATTCAACTACTGACGATAATAGTTCTGATGTGAAAAAGAATGAAAATTCAACCACTGACGATAATAGTTTCGATGAGAACGAGAAAGTTTCAATTACCGGTTATTCTAATGAAAATTCAACTACTGTCAATAATAGTTCCGATGAGAAAGAGAAAGTTTCTATTAATGACAATGCTTTACAAGATTCAGATTCTATGAACTCCAACGATGATTCTAACGATAAAGCCGCGCAATATTCTGGTGCAATTAATATTAATTATTCGATCCTTTCATTAAAAAATATTAGTGTTTTTATTATCGTTGCTATAGCTCTTTGCTATGTAGGTTTCCAAATATCTTGTTATGTATTTTAAAAGATATTTCACTAATTATTTATAAAATTTTAAAATTAGCCAATATTTGAGATATTCTTCCCGGTAAGAATTTAATTTACTACTTTTATAAAACAAAAACTCGCGATTTAACTTTCATTATTACTCAGCCTAATGATTGGCCCATATTCAGGAATCTTATAAACACCGCAGATTTGCTTTCCAGACAACTCACAGAACTTAATATTCCAGGTACTTTTTTAAAAATTACTAAATTAAATAAAATCTTAATTAGAAAAATTCTAAACTATAATAATTAATACATTAAAATAGAGTCCTCTGTGATTATAGAATATCGTATTACAAGCCAATATCTTGCCGACATTATAAGTCGAAATGAACCGCCCTCCAGTAACTCCGATGTGGTGGCACAATACCTCAATCAACTTGGGGATAAAATAAGTAACTCGGGAGAGGCCATTGAAAAAATATATCCTGATGGTAATAATGCTTTAATGGAACTTGGTGCAGAACTGAAATCAATCATTGATGAAATCGAACCGGACCAAGTTCTCACAAAAAAAAATACAAATTATTTCGCAGAACGTTGTAGAAAGATTTTAAGTATTGTTACTAATTTACGAGATAAATTCCAAAAAATTATAAATGAACTTGATGATCTTTATAATGGGATACATACACACCATCAACTTTCAAATGGAATAAATGATGTAGAAGTTTTTTTCGAAAAAATAACGCCAGAATTGGAAGAGAGACATGATTCCGAACGATTAAAAAGAGATTTCAATTATTTAAAACAAACAATGAAGAAGATTCCTAACATTCGATATCAAATAAGTTGTCTTTTATCTGAATTTAATAACCATCGACAGATGTTGATCGGGTATTGCAGTGAATGTATCAACTTGTCGAGATGGACCAGCTTGTCGAGACGAAAAAAAGTTTCTCTTGAGGATACCGAAAGATTAGAGGAGATGAGAACGAAGTTAACCTATATAGCTGAAGTATTTATAAAAAAAGATCGAGAAAATATTGAAAAAAGAATACTTATATAATTGATATAACTAAAGATAATATATTATATATTATGAAAACTATGAATAGGTTATTAACTATTGAAAAATTTTAGCTAATAACGGTTTAGCCGAGTCAGACAATATTAAGCTTTATAAAAATACTATATTTACCTTAAAGTTTTTATTATTCTTTTAATTCTTGATCAAAAAATTTTTGAGAATATCTATTTTCAAAAAAATTAACTTATATATAAAAAAAGTAAGAAAAGTGACCAAATTGACAAAAAAAAAGTTTTATAAAAAATATTATAAATTCTATAATAAATTATAAGAAAATACAAACTTTAAAAAGCTATATTGCGAAATTTTATTAATACAACAATATTTGCTCCTTAAGTAGAAAATGTTCTTGAGTTAATTTTGAACTAGTTAGGCTTAAAAAAACGTTCATACAAGTTTATAACTTAATAAAGTTTAGAAATTATACAAAAGATAACTAATTATATATAAAATTATATGTTAAATATATTTTTTTTATTATTAAGGCTGACTATTTGACTAATTGGATTTTATTAATTTTTTATTACAGAGTTGCATATATAGTAATTTCTTAAGGTTTGTAATTACATAATAAGTATACAACAAGCTACATATACATTTTAGTTATTTTTATTTAATATACTAAAATAAGTTATAATAGCAAAATTTTAAGTTAATAAAGTTTTATTTTTTCTAATTCTCAAATTTTATTATAATGCTCCTAAATATAATTTACAATTCATATTAATTATATCTGTAGTTTCTCTAACTAACAGTATATAAAAAACTTATTTTCTATAAAATTAATATTTAGTTTTTTATATAGATTAAATATAATACTTCTACTATTCAAATCTAAGTAAGTTTTAACTATTTTTATAAATTTTTATTGCAGATAACTTAGCTAGTTTTTCTTTTTATAGTCTAAGCTTTACTATTATACACTTCTATTAACTTTATCCAAATATCTTTATATATAACAACTGCATTTCTTGTAACAATAAAGAAAACTTTTAATATTGGTTTTTTTGCTCTAAAAATCTATTCATTCATACCTTAATATTACAAACAATTCAAAATTTCTTTATATCTTTATTACTTGATTTTTTTACTTAACAATTCAAGAATTATACAATCAACTAATTTCTTATTACTTCTTACAATACTAACAACCTTTCTAAAATTTTCTAACAATTAAAACTACTCTTCAAAGATTTATTCTATTTTCATTTATTGAACTATTTACTATATATAATAATATATACAAAATAGTATATAAACTCACTTTTCAATTCTTTCTCAAACTCTTTAATAATATTTATAAACAAATCTAAAAGTCTTACTATACTATACTCTCTGAATAAAAAACTTAAAACAATATTCCTAATTATCTTTAACAAACTTTTTACTCACAACAATTATTATACTTAAGCTATTTTAAAATAGGTTATATGGGGCCTTTGCAGTAGAAAGAGCAGATACTGCAATATATATGATTTTGAGAAAATTGAGTTTGTTTTGTTCAGACTAATCTGGGTTTATCAAAATTTTCATGATTTGATTGGTCAGTTATATTGCATAATCTCATAATGTACAAAATTTCTAAAAAAAAAAATTAAAATATTTCGATTTTTTATTATGCAAATCAATTTTTATTTATAATTGAAAAATGTAGCCTGTATCAAAATTAATCTGAATTTAGCAAAACCTTGATTTTCATTTTTTGGGCAGTATCTGCTCTTTCTACTGCAAAGGCTCCATATATATATATCTATATAGCTAACTAAACTAACTATATAATAATAATAACTTATATTCTCTACTTAGACTAGTACAATACAAAATTAAAATTTGGTCTACTTTGTAAGCTAAATATAGTTATCTATCTAATATAATTATAAATATTTAAATCTATATAGTTTTTAATTACTCTAAGTAGATTTAAATTATAGATAAATTAGATAGTTTCTATTTATAATTATTTACTATTATAGTCTAAGTTTTAATTTTTGTAAATAGATTTATAAACTGAGAAACCCTTGTAAAATCTTGCACAAATTTCAATAAAGATAAAGACAAAACCTCACTTTAATATTAAAAAAAAATAGATAAAACTATATTAGAATATTCTTTGTTAAGCATATGAAATATTTTGTATTAAAAGAATATATTTTTATATTTGTCTTATTTTGAGATAATTGAGTTTAATTATTTGGTTAGATTTCAAATTAATTTAATTTCATAATTTTGTTTAGTTAAAAATAATAGTTAACTATTAGATAATCTTGTGATATATTTGCTTTTAAAATACTCATGATATATTTTTTTATTATTATTTTGATTTTTTATTATACAAATTAATTTTAATTTATAATTGAAAAATATTAATCATATCAAAATTTATATGAATCTAATAAAACTTTATTTTTTAAAAAATGTAAAAATAAGCTTTTTTAATATAAAATACTTAATATTTAAAAGTTATTAGTACTATAGATAATTGCAGATAATATTTTGATGCTATTTGTATTTAAAATCTCTTGTACTTTATTTTTAATAAAACTTTTTATATAACAATATACAAATAATTTAAGAATATCAACTATAATTTTTTAATATTTTTAAAAAACTATAAATCTAAATATTAAAATTTCAAAAATATTAGTTTATTTATTAAAAAAGATAGTAATATTAGTAAAAGACAAAGTATACTAAGCTTTTTTCGAATATAGTTAAAAAAATATTTTAGATAAAAGATATTATTTAACTATATTATAAGAAGTAAAATAATAAAATAAATTTAATTCTTGAAAAAAATTTTGCAAATATAATTTTTTTTTTTATTTGTTCAACAAAGCTTGTGCTAATTAATTTTTATTAAGTTATTTGTAAGTTTATATTGATAAGTAAGAGTATATTTAGTTATATATATAATTTTAATTATTGTTTATTTAAAAGTTTTGTCTAAAAGTTATTTACTAAATACTATATCTAGTACTCATTTGTAAATATTTTATTTAAATCTTAAGCATCTTATCATTTCTAATATCAATTTAATTTTATTGTTAAACCTGTATAATCTTGTACTACTTTATAGGTTTTATCTTAAGATATTTTATTAGTTTTATTTAAAAGAAATCTGCAGAATACTCTAACTATACTGTCTTATATCCTATTTAAACTAGTATATATCTTTATAGATATTTATACAAATTTAGTTCTTACTATAAATTTCTACTAGATTAGAGTTTGCAACTTAGGCTTATGTCTGTATCTAACAAAAAATTTAAACATAAATATAGATATAAAAACTCAGATATAGATATAGATACAAGTACAAAAAACTTGGTATAGATATAAACACAAACACAAAAATTAGATATTTATTATTTAAATATACTTAGCATCTTGTATAGTACTTGTATCTAGTATTTTGTATTTAATATTTTGTATCTAAATTTTAATAATACTTAGTACTTTTATACTTATAGATATATATATAAAATAAGATACTAATACTTAGCCTAGTACTAATATATTAAGCATAAGCATTTGTAGACTTTTATACTATATTAGGCTTTTGTATTTTCAGATATTTTATGAAACAGAGTTTCTTAAATCTAGTTAGCTACTAAGCCAGATTGATATTACTATTTCTTCATATAATAGACTTATTTATATCTGTTTAATTAATATTTTTTATATACAAACATCTTTTTCAGATCAAGTATTAACTAGTATAACTATTAAAATTATTACTTTATCTAATTTAAAATTTTTACTATGCAAATTTTTTGCTTATAGATTCTATTAAAATTTATTCATACAATATTATATTATATTTCTAATATCTAATTAATATTAGTATAATATAATTTATAGAGTTACAACTTTTAAAAATAAACAGAATTTATTATAAGTTAGATACAAAGTTTAATTAATTATTTAAATTTGTTGATAGTGAAATTTGAACTTCAAATCTTTTATATAGCAGTCTAGTAATCTAACTACTATACTAAGATTACTAAAACTAATATAAATTTTTAACAAATTAAAAAATAAAATTTTTTTAAATAATAATCTTTAGAATTTTTGATAAAAATATTCTAATTATATCTAAAACAAAAATTAAATATACTAGCTAAATATAGTTTCTTAATAGAACTTAGATATAAAAAACTATTATATAATATTATTATTTACTTGTTTATTTGTTTGTTTAATAAATATATTATAATTATTCTAGATAATATATAGAATATATAAGTTTTTTTACTAATTTTTAAATATAAGTAGTTTTTTCAAAAATAAACTAATTTAAGTATTAAAAAATTTATTAATAAAGTCTATTAAACTTATTACTTAGCTTAACTAAATAGTACTTATTTTTTGTAATATATTTATTTCTAGCTTTAGTTCTTTTTATTTTGAATAATAAAAACTATTTTAATAATAACTTTATATTAGAAGTAGCAAAGCAATCTAATAAAAATATTTATAATATAATAATTTTTTTAGAGAAATAAAAACTTAATTCAAATTTAATTATATAATAATTATTAAGAAAATAATTTAATTATAATAAAAATAATTTATAATTATTTATATATAATAAATTTAATATTATATAAATTAAAAAATTTTTAATACCAAAGAATGATTATTTAGTAGACAAGTTGAATTATAAAGTTTATTTAAATTTAAAAAATAAAGTTTAAATAATTTTATAGGTCTAGCAATCTTAGTATAATAGTTAGATTGCTAGACTGCTATGCAAGAGGTCTAGAGTTCAAATCCTACTGTCAACAGAATTGAATAATTACCTAGATATCTGTATCTAACTTACAGTAAACTTGTCTGTTTCTGGAGTTGTAACTATGTAAATCATGTTGTACCAATACCAATTGAGGTATTAGAAGTGTAACTGGGCATTTAGAAGAGCATAATC